CCGGGCTTCTGAGCGATTTGTCAAAAGCCAGTTGGGCCCATTCCGCATCCGCGGCGTGGGGGTTGACTGTTTTATCCGTTAACATGCCACGGCATCTACAGGAAATTAGAAGATATTTGCTATCAGCTTGGACACATCGATGCGGCGTGGAGCGCCGATTATAGAAGCCCCTTGTATCTCTAAAGCGAAATTCCTACTGATATGGTATGATAATATCATATACTTTTTCTCCAAGGGGCAAAGAGAATTTTGCCTCGCGGTGGTTGGTAGCCTTATGCGAGGGGCAGAATACAATTTGGACCGGAGATTTATACCGAAGGGGCTTTCGCAATGGCGATCCCACCCCAATGTCTGACAACTCACAGGACACCCAAATACCCCGAGCCAAGGGAGACAAGGCCACTCCGAACCCAAAACCCACAGTTACGCACCTCAGCGCAATTCCAAATTTAGGCGCAGTCCCCCTCAAGGTGCGAAGCTCAAAAGGCCTACTAGTACTCTACTCCATCCCTCACGCTGCATCAGGGCGAGCCCTCCCTGCAAGTGCCAACGCAATTCTAAGAATGATATCTTTTACGGTCATGGTAGCCATCTGGTGCTGGCATGTAAACCCACAAAAGCGCCGTCAACTTTTAATGCATTGTAGAGGGCGGCCCTTGCCTCACATGCAATGAACCATCTCACTCATCTATGTCTTGGTTCCACCATTCTGGCTCATAGTTCTGTAGGGTAACACGGAGCGGCCGGGCTCTTGTTGGGAATTTAGATGCGGGTTATGGTTGGTCATATCAGGCAACACAAGATCGTCGATGGCTTTCTCGAACGTTTCTTTTGTTCTTCTGAGGTTGGCCAAGACCAACCCTAGGGGTGCGGCATCCCGTTGGGAGCCCCAAGCGCCTGACCCGTCCCCGTTGGATAAATGCCAACATAATAATATGAGGGCCTTCTTAAACACATTACATATCCAGAGCTAAATGGGCCACATGACACCCCCTCAACCGTTGGAGGATACAAATTGGAAGTATCACAAAGTGGGAACTTTCTCAGGGCTGTCAGTGCCGGGTTACGGCATGTTGGCTGTGTCCTTTTTTTTTTTGCCAGCTGTCTTCAAGGTGGCTCAAGCCCTTGTAGGTGCCTTCATATCATATCACTCGAGCTTCTTCGACGCCTCAGCCAGGGTCTTGACCTACTGATATACTAATCGGAATAGTTTTCTAGACGGTAATCGCATAAGCGTGAGAACGCTTATTTAGCACAGCGGCGGGCAAGCAGGTCGATGCGTCTCGTGTGGCTTCCTTCTACTCATTTGTCACGAAAGTAATCAATGCTTCATATTTCTGAGGGTAGGCATAACAGGATGAGGAGCTGACAAAAAAATAACGCATACATAACGCATCACTCAGGTCTTACCGTCTCGGAAACATGCGTGACAAATAGCTGACGGCTTTCATGTATTGTTCATAGTTGATCACTCGCGATGCTAATTGTGTGTCGCTTTGGCCTCTAAGAACCCGAGAAACAGCATGGCACGCCCTGCCCGCGCAGAGCAAAGTAAAAAAAAAAGGAGCGATCGAGCACTAGCATTTAAGACATCTCACCTCCTCTCTACCGTACCGTACTTGTACTCTCGAGTACCGTACATGCATGGCAAGAGACCTTCAGTCCCCAGCCTCTGGCCTATTTTCTGAGACATGACTCTCCACAGCTCCATTACAATCGCCGGCACCGACCTCCGAGCGGTAGTAACACTGATTTGCATTCGCAAGAGATTAAAGCCAAACTGCTCGATGTCAGTAGGAAAAGCTCCGAAAGTAACGCATTATTACTTTTTCCTAAGGGGCCGGAGGATCCGTGGGCAACGCACGGGCTCCTTTGCTCCGTGTTTACCGCCCCACCGATGTGACGGGTTTGAATTCCGGTTTCTCGCACTGTGGTCTTTGTTTATTGATTGGGGAACCGGTTGTACTCGAGTACGATAGCCGAATAAATGGTGGGAGGATCATAACAAGACTGACGGCAGCTGATGGAGGTAATAGAGGAAATATTACCACCATCAACACTGCATCAAGGTCGCCGGAAAACAAAAATTGTGACCTGGGGCTCGTACTATATGCGAGATACCATACCATAGATACGGTGCTTGGTATGGCAAAACACGAGGAACGATTCGGAAGTACTGGACCGGTGTGATATCAGCTACCTACAGGCGGGCCACCCTTACCCAACGTACTCGAGTACTTGAACTTCTGGAGCCTTCGAGCCGGGACACGAAAACTTCCGGGCTCTAATGAATCCTAAGATCGCACAAGTGGCAACTCCGAAAAGCCTTGACGGTCTGAACCAAGTTGGAAAAAAGAATAGCCCCGCCCCCGTGGTCTAGACAAATGAACCGGTAGCTGCCCGGCTAATAAAAAGTAAATACACCACGGGCAAAGCCCCCTCCGAAAGGCGATTATAGACCCCAAAAACCAACGGCTTATCGAGAAAACCAACAAAAATCCAGAGATCTTCACTAGATCAGGTCAAAGCATGGAATGATGCATGTCTGAGACAGAAGGAATCTTTTTTTCCAACTTCCCTCAGACTGTCAAGAGTTTTTAAAGTCGCAATACAATCCTCATCTCTGGAGTTGAGCTCAGGTCGCTGAGGTCTGCAAGGTGCGCCCAGGAACCTCAGGGCGCAGCGCAATGCGGTAGAGCTTTGGTGCCCCAACCCGGGGGAAAAACAAAAAAAAAACATCAAACCACCAATTCACCCTCTGGATCGAGGTTTCTGCCATCTCTTGTGACAGAGGCCGGTATCACTTTGCGCGCGAAGCGATAGATACTGGTGGAACCCCTGGTGAGCAATGTCCGCTTTTAGAAGAGACTACTTCGTTAACACGTATTACCGCGAAGCGATGAGGATATCATATCTGAGGAGGAGGACATCGGAAGGTTCGAAATGAGTGACCGTTGCGTGCACGAAAAACCGCTGTATGATAACAATGCGACCCAATCTCCGAAGAGCAAAAAAGCAACTCTTGGCCCTTCTAGGAGCCTAGGCTGACAGCTTCCCAGCAACTGTAGCCCTTCACCAATAGCGGGTTCGTACCACCCCCGGGACTCGAATGTCAGCTACAGTAGGCGTTGTCGGCGGAATTTCCGTACTCGGAGTGAACCTCCTGCTCCTCGGAACGTGCGGATTGCTACTACCTGTAGCTGGAGCGTAGTGGTTTCCCTGGGGAGCTCGGAGGCGGCGGGCGCAAGATGAAAATGGTTGGAAGTAGAACTGGAGTACGATACGAGCTCCATGAGCACAAGGAATCCGAGGGAAAAAATCATGAGCTCCCTTGGTATTTCTGAAGCAACCGAGCTCTGACGGCCTTCTGTGTCTGCATCATGGGTGTACTCTTGCAAGCACAAGGGCGATGCAGCATGATTCCCCTCCCCCCCGGCATCCTCTAGGAATAGCATCTGAACCGAAAAGGATGAACAACGCATACATCCTCTTACTCTTAGGCGAAAATAAGGCTGCCTCCTTTTCTTTCTTTCTTTTTTTTCTCCCCCCGGAAGCAATAAACAACGAAAACCCGAAAATAAATACTTTTTCCGGAGGTCATGGTTTAGCATTACGATATCCAGCGCCTTCTACGCTAACTATTGACTAATATTGACGGACGAATAGTGGGGCGCAGAATATTAGACTTACGGGACCGGTACAGCGCAGAGGGGTGGATACGGTGCGTTCCCAAAACGTACCGAATAATTATTTGTTTTCCTCTTGCAAAATCGCCACCATTTATCTATTACTGGGATGATCGGCGTGCAGCAAAGAGACTCGGATAAGGCTGAATTGGCCCCAAAATAATGGGCTGCGTAGAAGAGGAAATGGTACTTTTTTTTTTTTCGATGTTCCTGCGCATGCAGATGCCCCCAGCATCGGGGAGACTCATGGGGGTGGGTTGATGGCTCCAATCGAACCTTGCAAGCAGAAAAGCAGCGGGTAGCGATCCATGCAAGAAGGATGCAAGATCCATTTCCACCATTATGATTTCGACCGTTTCAAGTTTGTCTGGGTTTTGGGGCTATTCGCCTGTTTTGCCATAGCACCGGCGGCGAGATCCTCTCGAGTAAAAAAAGAGAAGGATCTTGAGTAAGGGGGGCAAGGTGGAAGGAAGGGGGCAGGTTCAAGCGTGGTTTGGATAGCTGACCCTATAATTTGGGAGCACTGGTATCATAGGCTAGCGGAAATAACGAAGGAATGTCAATCGCTGCTTCCCCGCATGTCTATTGATCGATCCATCTTACTTGTGCCGCTCTAGTACGCTATTCACGTCACTCTACCGGTGGTTCCGCGAAGAACAGTTGTGAATTTCAAAACGCAAAAGATGATATTCCAGATATCTGCGGTACAACAACAAAAACAGCAACAACCAATTTGTGGAAGGGTGGATGGGGTGGAAGCGGAGAGCGAGAAAGGGTCGTACGTAGTCCATCGTAATGCATGGCCTTTGGGGGGGAAGCCGGGATCCCCTGGTGGGGGAAAAAATATGATACTCCCAAGAAGAATTAACCATAGGAAAAGAGAAGGAAAAAGAAAAAAGTCGTCAAAACCGATAAAAAAAAATAGAGCCTTCCCCATATCTAGCCCACCCTTTTTCCATGCTCTAAACAAATGACCCATGTTCTCCGCAAGTGCGCCAGTTCCATGTAAATCTATAACAACAACGAATCGGAAGTGAAATATGAAAAAAGAATAGAAAAAAAGGAGCAAACTCGGGCTTGATATAGAGAGATATCATAACAAGTAAAGGAAGGGGAGGGTAGAGGTGTAAGAAAAGAAGTGAGATATGATAATAATGGTAATGATGATGCGCTGGCCTGAACATATAATCAAGAAAGGAGGGGAGGGGGGGGGGGGAAGGGGGCGAAGAGGGGAAAAAAAAATAGAATAGAAAGGAAAGAGAAAAAGAAACACCCGAAACAGTAAATATCCACCATGACAGGAGCTAGCAAAGGGGGCAGGTAGCTGCCAGAGCTCGTTTCGCAAGGAGCGGGCGCTTCCCCGGATCAGGATAGTTGCGGAGCAAATTCATCCTCATCCTCATTCTCAGAACCATACGAGAATTCATCCTCATCCTCGTCGTGGATTGGTGACGGTATTAGTGACGAATGGTCCAAGGCAGCACGACCGCTAGGCCCCAGAGCGCGCGGGCCCTGGCCATCCCCGTCGGATCCAATATTAGCATGGGAAGCCGATGTGGAGCGTCCACAACAACCTCCACCACCGCCGATAAATCCTCCAATCCTGGGCCCTCCACCTCCTCCCGTGATATCTCCGCCACCGTGTAACGGAGCGGCCATGTTCCTCTGATCACAACCGTTGCACTTAACGTGTTGACATTCGGACCATGTGCAGATGTTTTGCTCGGCTTGGACTGTCATCCAGCCGTTATCGCATTTGCAGCAGCGCCAGCGGTAGGGCATTGTTGATCTGTGGACTTGTTTTCTGTTCGGATTTCTCTTTTTCTGTCGAGACGGGGAGAAGGAATTGACAATTGGTTAGGCTCTGTGCTTGTGGGTTGCGGTGCTAGACAGCGGATAACTGCGATGTTAGTTAGGCTTCTAGATGAAAACTGCCACTGGTGCTCTAAACGCAGGACTAAGCTGACGTACCAATTGACTGAGACTCGGCTTTAGAGGTCCTTTCTCGGGGTTTCTTTTTTCTTTCCTTCAAAATTCTCTTGAGAGGTTATATCTTTCTTCCTTGCGAGTACTGAGCTGAGGCAAAAAGGGGGAGAGGGAAAACTTGTCAGCTCGGTCTTATCGATAGAACCTATATAAACAGTTGGATGACGTACACTTCAGGGATTGCCTAGCTAGCAAGCAAACAGGCCCCCACTTCTTTTTTGGCCGGAGTATGATAGAAGATGGTTGTTCGGGACAGGTAACGGAGTATGTTCTGAATTTCAAGGCAACAACGGAGCTGGCTGAATATGGTGGTCAAAGGATGTGTGAGGTGAGTGAGCAGGTATACTGACAGTACTGTGCCAGCAGGTGGGAGTGCAAAACTTGGGGGGGAATGACAAAAGGAAAACGAGGTGGGAGCAGTCCCTCCTTTTATATGTTCTGCTGATTGTATTTTTTTATTTTTTCCCTCCATTTCTCTTACACTTCCATTTCCCACCCTCGTATCCCGCCCCACCACCACCACTTTCAGGCCCGGGGGGGGGGGGTAGGCCTTCCCACTCACTCATTCGGATTTCTAGGGTATCTTTTGAAACAGGCTTACTCTTTTACTTTTTTTACTACTTTACCTTTCCTTCTTGCTTGATTGAAGGTTTGCTTGCTGGTGCAAGGCAGAGCTGTACTTTTTCCTGTTAAAAGGTCCTAGCTCTCCCATCGGTCCATTCATTCTTTCCAAAATCTGACTTCTATTCCTCCCTCTGAATCGCTCCCCCCATCCCCTGTTCGTTACCCAATCCCGACCTTTCTCCCTCCCAGAGAGAGAGCAACCCTGGAAGGGATACAACGTGATAGAAGTTGTTGCATCCATTTGCCAGTTGGTGGGTTGGGAGGCAGGGTGAATCGGGGGACGCTTCAACCAGGTAGAAGATGGAAATTCTACACTTCTGACGAAACAAGGCTGAGACAAAAAAAAAAAAAAAGGAAAAAAACAGTGCCAAAAAAATAATAGATGATTACCTCAAAAATAACGGAATTACGCAGTACTATTGATACGTTGTTCTGTATTGTATCATACCAGTGTGCAAGCTAGGTTCTCTTGCTTGCACCCCCCCCCCCCCATTCCCCACTGCCCGCTCACTCACTCCTTCACCTGCTGGCATTCTCTTAGCTCACCGCCCGCTCCCGTCCGTGGAGCAGAAGTCGCCCTACTGTACGGTGCTGTACCCGTACGTTCTACATGTGTATCCGGCCGTGGAATAAATCATGTTTCCAGACAATAGTACCTAATTTATTTCCCCCACCGACGTGTTTGATGTGAGGAAATGGCCTGTCTGTCTGTCTCTCTCCAGCAGGGCTAGGTAGTCTAATACCAAACAGTTACAGCCAGCCGGTCAGCCAGCCAGATAAATACTAGAGTAGAGTTACTAGTATCATGGGTTCCGATGGTCCATCATCTTCAGTATTCTAAGCCTATGGACTCCATTAATGTTGCACTTCCATTACTTCCACCACCACCTCCACCCCTCCTCCGTCCTTTTCCCATCCTCCATATCATTCCTCCTACACATGCTACTCTCGCAGCCAGACCACCCACCCCGCCATGACGAAGTCGTGCATGGTATGCGCGAAAGATCGAACGATAGCTACCGGTATTTTACTTTTGGGATTGGGGCAAGTGGGCTCAACCAATGCCCTGTTCCACTCGGGTATTGTCCATCGCCAGTTAGGGGAATTGCGTGCGCGAATGCAAAATGGGAGCTAGGGCAACAAATTTTCTTACATCAATCCGCATATAGGATGGGGAAATTGAGCAAAGATGCAGTTCATTTTGAAATGGCCATCATTCTCTTTTCGTCGATTTTATGGACTTTTTTTATCATTTTTCCTAGTTTTGGTTGTGGTGGGGGGGGGGGGGGGTGGGCAGAAGGGAATCAAGGGATGAGGTTTGGTTCTCTCTCTTTTCTTTTTTTATTATTTTAAATGTTGGCGCTGGATGCGGTGCCGCGAGATGCAGGTTATTGATCACGTTGTCAACCGGCGGTCAAAAAGAAAAACTACCGTGGCGACAGTATCATACAGGACTTGACGTACCGTAGAGGAGTTTGGCAGAGGTGTGCGCTGTGTTCACTTGCAGAGTGCTCTACAGACCCGGAAGAGGGTGTGTCCCTAACCATTTCTTCCTTCTCCCTCCTGTATTCTTCTGCTCCGTGACCAAACTGACGCACAGTACTTGCACGATACTCGAGTACAGTATACCGGTAATACCACCACCGCGCTGTTTCCCACGATGCCAGTGCCCCCCCAAGACCCATTTTCAAAACGGATTGCTAGCACCCAAAAAAACAGAGAGGAGATAAGGCCGAAAAATTCAGGCGTCTGCTCCCCACCCTCGCTACGGCACACTAGCAATCCGAGCATTCATTAGCGGAGGGGAACGGTTTGAGGAAGGAAAAGGGGAAGGAAAAACATCTCACATGATCTCCAAAATCCCACGGATCCGGGTCTGCAACGGCAGAAGCTCATCGCCTGTCCTTGGTGGGGGGTTTCTCTCGAGGGGGCAGCTGAATCAAGGCTTGATTGGCGGGTTACTGACAGGCTAATTTCTATTACGAGGTTGCTTCTACCGGTGATGGTCGATAGGATGTACGAGTACTCGTGCCGGTATTCTCGGAATCAGAACTCCCAAACGAAACGGACGCCGGAAGAGATTACAGGGCACCGTGGCTTTCTCCGCCCAACGTGTTACTAGATACCGCAAGTCCAAGCGCTGTACCAATTGGGCTCGGCTTCTCGTTGGACTGCCGTACGATAGTCGAGTACTGTACTCGAGTACACCTGCCCACATGCCTCGCCCCTCCTTCCCCTCCCTCGTCTACCGTCCCGGTGGTCTAAATTCTCACCCGATCCAATCGATTCCAATCGTGATATAGTAACACCACTCCCCCGCGCTTACAGTAGCAAGTTAGTTCGCTCCACCCTTAATCTCAAACGATGAGGTAATTAAGGTTCTTCTTCCAGGACTTTGATAACGGTTTTCAGCGTCGACTGCCGTGGCGTGCCGCTTACAGACGCATTGGTGATCATTCTGTCACACACGTCTCTTAACTTCATCATCATCATACCCAACCAATGCTGTGTACCTTTTCGTCCAGTGTCTCACAGGTTGGCCATCTCCTTTCCTTCATTATATGAACACATGAGAAAGTACCCTACGACGGGCCTACGTTGTCCTCAGTCAATCAGTTGGAACACACGTGTCCGCCCGGGAGATCTGCGGGAAGCTCGGGATCATCAGGGTTTCCTTGAGGCTTGCTCCCGCCGTGAAACTCGACGGATCACTTTTCCACCGTTTGTTTGATGTCGCCATCATACCATATCATACTCTCTCGTCTTTTTTTTTTTGTCCGGCCAATCGTTTCGTTCCCTCTCTTCTCTCTGGCCGTATCGATTCGGCCTTCATTCTTGAGTTTATTTTAGTTCACGGGTACGTGAGTTGGTGTCTAGGTCTTTCGCTCATGGGGTTCAGCCTTCCCTTATAGGAGTATTGTGCTATCATATTTGCACTCCTTGGATTCTATTGCACTAACCCAATTGGCCCGATCCCTTAACCCCACTCCATTCCCCTTCTCGTTGATGCGGGGGGAGTGGGGGTGGGGAAAGAACGCCAGTTATCAGGCATTTATCAGACATTTTCAAGGCTGGCGAACAAGTTTCTGGCGGGCAAATCCGCCCGGGACTGAATGAGGAAGCGAAGGCTGACGCGGATACCCGCCTCCACCAGATTTGGGCGTGGAGAGTATCGCTAATAAGTTTCCCAAGCATGCGCGTGGCTCGCCTTGCGCTTCTTGTGCGACAAGCTCTTGCGCAGTAGGCACTGGGCTTCGCGGGGAGAAGGGGAGAAAAAGAAAGAAAAAGCCCCACTCAGGCACAAGCGGCCTTCATGGATGAATGGCACGGAGAAAGGGCCCGACGCAGCACGATATTAATTCTGAGGCCAACGGCGGGTGTCCAGTTGATGGTGAGATTCATCAAATGGAAAAAAAGAAAAGAGAAAAAAAGGAGGAGGAGGACAAAGTAAACTTATTGAATACTATACCGGTATTCCTATCACATCTCTTGCACCCCGAAAGTTAGTTACTTGTGCGCCTGACCATTAGCATGTAATACAGCCTGGAACTGAACTGCACTATACAGTATCACGCTACTCGTATGCTTGATGAGAAGACAGGAAGGAAGTGTGTGTCAAAAGGAGAAAGCACTAATTCTCTCTCCACTATTCATCTGTCCGTCGGTGCCGTTCCTACTAAATGTCTATTCCATGTCACTACATAAGGCCCATCTTCCCTCCCGATGGGAAGGGGGGAGGGGGAGGTGCCATTTGTAGAGCTATCACTGCCGCTTCCCAGGAGCGAGAAACAACAAGCTGTAGGAAATTAAGAATTCGGGGTAGAGGAAAGGGGCCATGGCCAAGCTAAGGATGCTTCCTTTTGGATTCTTTCTACCTGTCTCTTCTTCGACTGGCTGATCGAGCAGGTGTGTTTTGTGGGACTTTGTCTTGCAACAGCACGAAGGTATCGTAATGTGAAGGGTTACAACTCGTGACCACTGACTGACTCGTACTTGGGGTGTCTCGAGGCGGCGAGTGCTAAATTTAGTATGATTGGCGCGCGGTACCGCACTAGTGCTGTGTACCGGCGGCATTAGGTTGAAAGTGGGAGGTGGTTGGAAGTACTGTACCTGTACCTGTACTCGGGTACTCGTATGATGCAGTCGCATTATTGGTAAAAAGGACTAGGTTGAATTGGGTTCGAACTTGATTGGGTTGCAATCACTGAAGAATAGGGTACAAGGCCGGGGAATGCATGGATGTGCAAGTGAGGAGCAGAATCAAAGTAAATTTAAAGTAAAGTAGATGAATGAATAACAAAAAGTCTAGCTGATAAAAAATATAAAAAAACTTCCCAAAACATGCCCTAGCAAAATAGGCTCCCGAGAAAATCGGGGGCTGGATTTCGGAAGGCTGGAGCCAGGTCCTCCATCAATCGATCGATTAGATCAATTAATCAATATCTAGAGTAGCGCTGCATGGGAGGTCCAAAGAGGGTGAATCATGAAAAAGAAGAAAAAGAAGCAGAACGTGCAGAGACATGCTGAAGGGTAGATAGAGAAAGAGCGGTCCTGTGCGACGATGAAGACAGGATAGTAATGAGCGCCATATGTTCGAAAAAAAAAAACCTAAGGTTGGTCCGCTTGGTCTGTCTGCGATTTAGGGCCCCAGCTGGACAAGACAGGACAACTCAGCAGGTACGTAGGCAGGCAGTCTCGGATGAGGGTGCCGCAGCCCCACGATGCCGGGGAGCATTCACGCGAAATGTGAAGATGTTGGTCAAGTTAAACCGCACGCTTCCTCGGGATGGGAAAACAAGACAAATGGATGAATCGCCGCCGCCATCGCCGCCGCTGTCGCCTCATAGAACATCGCACACGGACGAGGTGCAAAGAAAGATGAACGAGTGAACAGCCGCAAAAAAAAATCAATAACGGAGATGGGTGTATTGCAAGAGTGGTTTTGCAAACTACTGCCGTAGGTGAAGTACCATACTGATGGGGGAAAGGAAACAAGGAGAACAACCGCCAGAAAGGTGAAAAAAAAAAACAGGTTAAAGTCTTTTCTCGAGAATTTTTCTTTTCTATTTTGTCCCACCATACCGGTAGCCTAGCCCACAACCTTCCATGCGGATCCGGAAAAACTAACGAGAGAGGGGAGGAGAGAGAGAGAGAGAGAAAGGGAAAAAAAAAGAAAAAAGGGAGACAAAAGAACAACAAAGAAAACAACCCTAAACCGCGCTTCTATTCCCGAATAGGATAACTAAGCGAACGGCGTGGGATTTCGCCAAACTCCATGTGTAACCAACCGATCTAATCGCAAATCCCAAATGACGTGAAACTCCGTTGCCGTAGTGTATGATCGTCGCAACCCGATCTTTCTTTCTTTTTTTCCATCTATCTGTTTGCATAATAGGAATCTATGGAGGGCGACGACTAATTCGAGGTGGGAAACTCAACTCCTTGCGAACCTATGTTGTTGGCTTAGCGACTGGTTGTGTGCTGGGCGAAATCGTTCGGTGTGTACGCAATTGTTGGTAAAGAGTGGTAGAGGGTGTTGGAGTGGCAGAGCTCACTTGCCTCAGTAGTCGGAGGCGATATCAAAGTTGCTCCAGGAAGAGTTTCGTGGGCAATTGGAAAGGTGGATGGCATCAAAGATATAAAGGAGTGCGCTTGCTGTCTGTGCCTGCGGCGAGGTATGTACCCGCAGTTGGCGCAGCCAACATCGAGGAGAGGATTGTGAGGCCCATAACCACAGCTCGGCTGATAAAGAGATCGCGGTAAGTCGCAATGCATGGGATACAAGATGGGAGTTCTGTCACTTACACAGTACCAAGCATCGGGGGTCGATACGATACCAGCGCCGTTGCCAGACATGGTGTTGAAATGAGAATTGGTGTTGGTTTGCGCTGAAAAAGTTTTAAAGGTGAGGAAAGCAATAGAAGATACGGGGCTGTCTTTGTGTGTTGTGTGGGTTGCTCTGTGCTCTGGAGGAGGTGGAACGGTCGAAGGCTCGATGTAGAGTATGAATGCGTTCTTGTCTCGAGAACAACAGTGGGATATGTGTTGGATGGTGTTTCCAGACAGGGAACTCCCTGACCTTTTATGCTGGACTTGAGAAGAGGGGAAAGCACGGTAAAGAGCGAGCGGGTTAGGGTAATTGCAGAGTAGAGGAGTCAACATTAGCAATAAAAAAGCGCATACGCAGGGTATCGCTACCCCTAAGCTTGCCGGAGGGTGTGAGGTAGGGCAATGCTGGTACGCCCAAAAGAGCTTAACTAAACACTCAAGGCTCTCAGGCTGGTCGCGGTCATGACAATAGTCACTGCGAACAGCCTTCAGCTGGGTGGATGGCCACCGAGAGATCGCCCTGTCCTCTGTTTTAGCAAAGGGAATCCGACATCATGAACACTGCCCAGATATGACTGGAGACGCCCTAAAGGGAACACATATGTGACACACAAAGTACTTCATACCCCGGGAGATACAAACATACATTGTTTTCGGGATATCTGGAGTGGAATATAGCGGCTTCCCTCGGCGTAATCAGGTAGAAGCACTTGGTGATGATAAAGGGTACCGTCGATCACCCTAGGAGCGTGCGCAGCAGTAAAAACTCTAGGCTTGCAGCAAAAAGAGTCATATGAATAGCAGTAGATAGTAGAGTACGTAGAAATAGGACATACCCCATAGGTCAACAGTCAAAGGCCACCGACCCCCTAATTCCGCAAAATTGGCAAGAGGTGAGTCGGTTCCCAACCCGGACCATTTTGGGTAGGCAGATAGCAGTAACAAAAAATACCCGGTATTTAAAAATGCCGGTTCGCAGATTCGGGCCCTGCGGGCCAGGGAGCGATCGCTGGTACTGGGACTAGCCCATAAACCAGAGTCCGAGTGCGAATCATAAGTGCCTGCTGGGCTAATGGAACTTCTAGAATACTCGTGGCCAGTTGGTGCCTTGTCGGACGGATCCGCTGGGGGTCGTCACCGTAGAGTGGGGAGTTGTCAAGTGTTATTATTGTGGGCAAGAAGAGGCTTGTGGGAGACGAGGGTGGTCCGTGGGTGTCATCTGCATTCGCCCCAATCAGCCATCAGCTTCCCGAATGACCCTCGAGCTGGGTAGACACAAATAGAAACCCTAACCCTAGGTTACAGAGCCTCATCTGGGTGCACGCCGTTAGCGTTTAGCATGAGTTTCACCGTACCTGTTCCCATCTGCCCCCCCCAGTGCCCCCGTGACGGTAATAAGAGACTCGGAGACGGCTAAGTGAGGCCCTCGGTTTCGTGGCGGTACTTTGTCTCCGTGCCGTTACTTTTTCCTTATATCATACAAAAGGATCTGGCTGTGCTGTGGAAACTCCGCTGGAGCAGCCTTGGTAAAAAGTGCCCTCTGCTCAATCGTCATTCGTGGTATCATAATTGTTTTCACTGTGCCGCTCCACCACTAGGGGTCCCGACGAGCTGTCAATATCCAAGTGCGCACAACTTGAACCACGGAGCGACAAGACATTCAGCATGAGACCAGCTAAGATATCAAAACACATCTCGTTGCATCCGGGACCAGCCACTCTAATTTCTCAGAGAACTCCAGAATACCGCGGCTGGCATAGCTCGTTAGAGCTTTACGGATCAGGTAAACCCTTCAAGGGATAGACACCGGCATGTAAGCACGGTCCCGTGGATGGCCATGAGTCACGGTCCGAAAATATTGGGATCCTTGTCTGCTTTGGTTGTTGTGATTGTGGGGTTGGGTTGCTGCAGAACTCCCACCGCGACTGCATCGCCGTTGACCGTGAACCCCTCCTCGCCCCTCCCTGAGCGCTATCCACCCCACTTCGATCTGCCGTCCTTCTGATGTCCTTGGCCCTCTAGCCGGGGGAACGGTGACGTGGAAAGCGAACCCAGAATATGTCCACTCGCTTCTCCTTCTGACGATCGGTCTCTGGAGACACAATTCGTAAACGGTGTCTTTGTAAGCGAGCTACGTCTCCAGTTCATAACAAGTGATTCGTTATCCCTACTCGACTAACTCGCGGCCACTGACGCCTAATTTCTCCGAAAGTGTGTAGCACTAAGTGGGGAGGCAGTGATTGAAGCTATTCCAATCCATTGGCGGGGGTTTGTAAACCGGGTTTCCCATCTAGATTGCGTCAATCAAACTTTGCCCTGATGACTCGTTTCGCTTCAGTGAAGTTAGGAACAGGTGACAATACTTTGACCGAAGGTGCCTTGTGCCTTGCGGTACTCCCTCTGTCCAAGTTTATCGTTTATCGCGCCGGAGCGAATGAAATTCCTGATCAATGGGAGAGCGGAGCGCCTCGGTGTACCGCCGGTAATACTCCGAAATGATTTCTCTAGGTACCAGCGCAGAAGAAAAGACCTGAAAAACGCAGAATCTCCAAGAATAAACTTGTGCTGAGGGGTCAAGGCTGCCATTACTAAGGTAACGCCGGAATAGGTATTTGTTCGCGCTATCCACAAGAGGGAAAGCGGTTGTGCCTTGAGAGGCGCCGAAGTATTAACGTCATTCACTGCAACATGGTTTTTGAGAACTAAATATCTCACCTCGGCTGCTCGGTCTGACGGATTCCATATAACAAGTCAATGGGAGAGGTTTTCTGCGTGGAAACCAAGGGCGCCGTGCCGTGTTAAAGAAGCCATTTCCCCAGCGACTTTCAACACCTTATAAGCTCTGCTTTTCTCCCGACCTTTTTCAAGATTTCTGGCCCTTTTGGAAGCTACCCTCCCACTCACACAGCAGACCGGAAGAATATGGGCCTCTTGTTGCGGGTAGTGTCTTGAAATGACTCTCACGGTTGTGGTTCCCGAACACCCATTATTCTAGCGACGATAGAGTCTTGATGTGGCTGATCCATTCAAGGGAGGTGACTCTCACAAGACATACCGGTACTTTAGGGGGGTCCGACTGTGATTTGGTATAGCAGGTGAAGGCCCGTGGAACTACCCGTTCCCTAGTCCAAACCGCTTTTACCAACAGTTGAGTCATATCTCGAACCCGTGGTCACAATATTGCTGGGTTTTTTCCCATCTTCTCGTTGATCCCACCCGACGGAATGGCGATTCCGCTGGGCGCTGAAATCGTGAAGAACCCCAAGGCAGCCGCTGATCTTCTGGCAGATGAAGCAGCTAGTAAAAATACTACTAATCCTCAGTTGCTCCAGGATGACATCGCCGGGACTAGGACCAACCACCAATTCCCAGCAGCAGTTGGGTAGTAACATTCCCGTAACTTCTTCAAATGGGAGTTGAAGGGTCCAAGACTTTAGCGTGAAACCGATCAATGTAGTATAGGAGTGGAAGATGTAGGCTTAGCGAAAGACTTGCTTCAGGAGCCGAAGATTAATTAGAAAGTTAATAGTAGAAGCTCGCAGAAAACTTAGGAAAAGGGTCCTAATGAACAACATCCTTTCTGTCCTTCGTCTCTCCGGAAATACTGTGAAGATAAAGGACGGCATACCTCCATCAAGGTGGCTTTGAATAAAGATATACACTCGTCCTTCGGAGGAGCCGCGTCATTCCCGAGACACGAGATCTGTTCGTATTCCAGATTCAGCTCAGAAGTGTGAAAAGAAGTGTAATATCATAGATATAACATGGAAAGATTCTGAATGCCGTGGCTTCTTGATAGGCCGGGCCATAGGTGTTACAGGCGCGGGCAAAGAGAGTTGAACCACGTCAGCGTGATACTTTTGTAGTAGCGGCTCTGGGGGATGAAGGAAACTAAGACTTTTGGGACAGTTAACCAAGTAGGTAAAAGCGTAGCACAAGGTGATGATCCGCGAGAAAAGAAAAGCCCAAGATAGGGCGAAGAGCATCGGGAACTATTGCAGATTAATTTGTGAGCTTAGCGCCAGGAGCCCGGCACGACGCAGGTGGGTACCGTAGTTTAGTTTTGGAGCGTGTGCAGCTCCGGCCCAACACCCTTAAAGCCACTCTAGTGATTTTCAAGGCTTAAATTCCAAAATTTAATGCACAATTATCATCTCCGGGGTTTCCCTCCCTTTGGTTCGGAGAAGAAGCCCCCCAATCCTGAATTAGGTAATCATAGAATATGGGTTAATCACAGCCAAGGTTGGCCTGCCGGGTAGAGGCGGGGGTGATTTGTCGAAAGCGACGCCCGGTTTTCCTAAGAGTGCTAGCCTGCTCGCGCGGCCAAGTTGAAGTTGGGCACCTAAATTGTCAATTTCCATAAAAAGTGCCCAACTCCAACTCGGTCACTCCAGTAGAGGGCGGCCGCCCAGGGCAAACAAAAACTCTTGATAGGTCCAAATTTCCACGCAATCATGCTGTCCGTGATGCGGAGTATCTCCGCTCCTAAGCCATGTTTTGAAGGCTAAACACCTGGTGGGTGAGTTCCGTATTACTACGGCTCCAAGTTCACCGCACATCACTCGGGACCAGACGCCTATAATGAAGCCAGGTACCACTAGGAGGAGTGAAATTTGTCCTATTAGATACCGGTATACGGATGCTACTGCAGCACCAGATACCATGTTAGGACTCGCACCTGTACTCGTCTCTTGAGAGGGAGGATACTTGCGTAGAAAAGAACTAAGAGCTCCTGGACATGCAAGGGTATGCCCAGCTTTTGTAGGGATAATGTGTAAGGAATCACCTTAGGCATGAAGGAAGCGGTAGCGCGGCTCTTGATTCCCCATCGCCTTACTTTGCCGGGTTCCCCAAGGCTCAGGAGTAAGGCTACCGGTGGGTACATTGGCGGTCGGTGTTCGAAGCACGACTATCGGCGGAAAGGTAAATACCATCCCAGTCAAAGTTAGTCGGCAGTACAGGACTGATGGGAGGACACGAGAAACGTGGGCGCTAGATGCTCCCCAAATCCCACCACCGAGAAGAACGAGGGAGACGCGCACCACGACCCACGCACTACCACCGCGATCTAGCATTGAAATAACAAAAGAGCTGAGTGTCTTACACAAGCAATGTGGATGATCACAATTAACGTGTACTATTCCTTGCTATTCCTGACTTGGTGGGTAGAGAGAGACCTAGCCGTTAGTTAGCGTGAATTAGTTTCCCGGCAGACCACGTAGGATACGAAAAATGAAAACGAGTGACACACTATGGCTCAGCCAGCGATCCATTTGTGGCCGGGTTCAAGCCGCCCATATGAACGCGAGGACTGTATTGTAGCACAACCTGTTGTAGATCTGAGGATTACCAGCTGTGTCGCGGCATGGGGCACTAGGCCCCGTATACAACCCGAGCTTCAAGGGTCGGACTGATCGCGGCGCCAGATGGCAGGGACCCGGGCGGTAAGGATTAATCATTGGTCCGAAAATATAACCTCGTTTTCCATCCCTTGGATCCAATGCCGGGGTATGATAGGAGTCTCTCTGCAGATTACAGGACTCGCCGGATCGTGTTTGTACGGTATCAGGTTACTATTTTATGGGCATTGACGAGCACTGCCGGTACTAGCGGTATCGGGCCGACCCCTGGTGCTCTATCGGGCACCGAAAGCCCTGGCAATACTGTACGAGTACGGAGTACTGGTATGATGCTTGGTGGTACAAGCCGGTCGGTACCATGCATGTATTATATGCGTGCCACCGTAGTCGTTTCCTCTCGGTCTCCCTGGAGACCCGTGGGTGATTGATGCTCGAATTGAAAGCCCGACTAACCATCGAACCTCAGATTGTATTGCGTAGCTCTCATTGTTGCGTTGGTGTGTTTGAGGGAAGGAATCACCACATCTTGAATACGAGACCCGTCTCTGCGACCCCCAATACCGATAGATCAGTATTGGTATCCATAGTCCAAGTAAATGGGGTTCGTTGGGCTCTAACCCAGTAAAAGCGATGAACTCCGCATATTGGAGATCGGTTGAAAGGATAGAAGGTTGCCTGTCCTAAAACGCAGGATTTCAATGTGCGCACTCCCTGCGTACGGGTACGGGTACCCCCCCGATTAACACGTGATGCCTACTGTTAAACTCTGAGACTTACCTTTTCAAAAGTATCCGGAAATCCGGCTTGGCTTGGTGTTTATCGGCCCCCTCCGTTGTCAGGAAGGGTCAAGACGAATACCAAGAGGAAAATACTCCGAGATTAGTACGGGTGCCTGAGGACTGCTGTTAGAAGCTCTGGTGCTTTTTTTTAACGGGGTGTCTGGCTGCTTGCGGGTGTAGAAAATGTTAAAACTGCAAAGCCCATGTGTACGATTCTAGTAGGTTGCCATTTTGATCAGAATTGCATGACTTTAAGGACTATTAGCTCATCCAAAAAAAACAAAAGAAACAAGATAGAATTAACTAAAGCAGCACTATGTGCCTAACAATTGCTTAGACTACTGTATTTCAGTAAATATTGTGTGGTTATTGTCCTGTTTGTATGATTACTGATGGCTAAATATTTATTTATACGGTGCTGAATATGCTTTCTCCACAGAGACCTGGCATGATCTAAGGTATCTTTTGTCTATTCCCAATGCTTCTAATTATTCCTCTTCCGTATTTTAACCTCTTAATCAAAAAAATCAAGGTGAGGTTTCCAGATATCATACCGGATTTTAACTCCTTAACGCGAGGTTCAGTGTTCTCGAGGTAATCCTTCCACGGGGCTGACGGAGATATCATAGTGGATTTCACGAAATTTTACGGTACGGTGCCGGTGGGTCGGTTGTTGCTATGGTGCGGTAATTACTTGTATCATATCATATCACATCCATCCTGATCACCCGCCGCCCCTCAAACCCCGCCACCCCATTTTCATCGGCTCGCTAACCCTCACTTCCCCCGCAACACACCCTCCACCTCGCCTTACTCTCACCATGTTACATCTTCAACTTTCTGTGTTCTATGGCGATTTAATACCCCCACAAAACGATGCCTACCAAACTGAGGTATTCTCGCTACTTCAAAGCCAACAAGTACCCTCGGGGCTGGGGAATTGTCGAATACTCTGAAATACGACCGCGGCAAACTTCCGCCGCGTAAGGTGCTCCACGGATGGAGGAAACCACCGGAAACGATTATCAAATACACCGGCAAGGAGTTTTCCCAGCCACAACGGAAGAGTGCGGCGGAGTTGCTCAAACGGTATAAAGAGAAAGTGTGCTTTTCTCCCTTTTCTCTTCTTTTGGCAACGTGCTGCGGCGACCGCTGGCTCTGTGGACCTATTAGCTCCTCATCTAGCTCCCATCGCAGGCGATACGGGTCACTTATTAGCTCTTCTGCTATTAGCCTGCAATAGTGGTCCCGCTGAGTCTCAGACGGCCAACTTGGTTTGCGCGTTAGTGGGGTTCTAGTTTCTGTACACGTTGTTTGGGGGGTATAAACTCCAAGGGTTTGTTATAAGTGAGGTGAGTCATGTGACTGATACGACACTTGAGTACCCTAGGGCAAAGGATCCGATCGTCTTATCCGCCGCGAGTGGCTTTCGAATCAAGAGGAACGCAACAGGGGCCGTCACTAGTAAACATTGGAGCTGTTTTCAGTGGCGCTGTGACGAACTCGTCGGTCCCCATCACTCAGATGACCTGCTCACGGCTACCGCAATCTGATAAAGTTGACAGTAGTGATGTGAGCAGTCCTACTCAACACTGTTATGGGAGTTTGTGTTGACCCTAGGGTGATGAAGCGATAGACACTCCTCTTGAAAGTGACACTGAAGATGAGGAATCTGAATCTTGAGGTCGTGAAACCCCTACGCCTGAACACAGCTCGTAACTGGCCAGACCAGCCTAGGCGGAATGGTCGGGCTGGACGGACTCACCTGCCCCATAGGTTGTTAGCGTTTATAGAAGAACGATAGGATGCTGTGGATGGTTCTGGAAGTGATAGGCGTATTGGTGGATTGGTCTGGATGTTTGTGGAGTGTTTTCATTAGGCATGTCTTTCCATTGTTACATGGGAGTATGATACACGGAGGAGTAGGAATGTGCATGGAGGAAGAAAGATAGTGTGGAGACCTATGGAGGGATAGGAAGACTCTGTTTCTGTTTTACATACACATCTGTCTTCAACGTTAGCTTGGAGAGAGGAGACGAACTACTGTAGACAACGAAGTTTCTGATCATATAGTTTCCACACGCTCGCTGCAGTCTAGGGCTGTTACGCTCACTATACCTTTGTGCTATTTGTTAGTTGCCTCACCGCCGTACCATTCCTTCCGTGCACGCCGTAGATTACCTAGATCGCCTCAAATAATATGTATAGCATTTCATACAGTCAAACATTCTGTGGATAAAATGTATTGTATCAGAACTATCGAGTGTAATTTACTTTGTAACCTTCCGTGCTTTCATACTAACGATCCAGCTAACTATATCTACAGTTCGAATTTTACTTTTTTCCTAACTAATAATTTCGTCATTGCATTCCAGTACCAGCCACATACAGCATATATCACACCACCACTATTACCCGTTACTGCATCCACCGTCCACTGCAGGCTGCCCCCCCCAAGGCATTTTACCACGGGTACGGTACGGCGCGTTGGATGTCGGGCGAACCTTCACTACTGTAGCGCCATGGCGTCAACGAAGTGACCCGGCGACGCGCCCAACTTTGCCAAAGCCCTGAGCGACAATGCTCTTCCCCCTGCAACGAGATGGTGAGCGGCGACGCGGGGATCAACACGGCGGTTCAGGCCGTTGGGGGGTTGCACAGCGGGGTCGGTGCTGCAGCGGTATCTTCGCTTGGGCTAGACTATCCTGGTGTTGGGTACGAGTACTCTGTTTGCTCAAGAGGACAGGGCGGGGTGGTATCGTACTCGTACTATGCTAGTATAATACGGTATAGATGCCGAAGGGCGTTCGTTTGGTGGTTGGTGGGCTTGCGGAGTTGCTCGGGACTCATGGCGGTTGTCAGTTGAGAGGAGGTGGTTAGACCAGGGCATCGTCTGACGTCGTCGAGGGGAGGAGTGTTGGGTGGATTTGTACTATATATGCTTGTGGACTATGATGTGTGGAGTTGGTTTGAGGGAAGGCCGGGGGAGGGGCGAGGTTGGGTGGGCGATTGATATGTCGTGATGGGTTGGGTTGGGTTGGGGAAGGTGGAGCTCTGTGTTGGTTTTATCTATTTATGGTTCTTGGTCCATGGAAATAGGAATGAGCGAAGGGACCGGCCTTGGATTTGAAAAAAAAAAGGGGGGGGTTTGAGGGTATCCTAAGGTTAATCTATCTTGCCTGGTATCAAAGCGTGAAAGGATCTGAATGATGCCAGATGATCATATATACTACTAGGATATATATTCACATCGCAATAGAATATTAATTTACATGCCATGCACGACATAAATCAGTCCTTATGCGCAGTGTAAATCCCTGAACAAGTGTTATACTCGCTAGCGACAATCCCCCCCTAATTAAAAGCAAGCCCCCACTCACATGAAAATGGAAAAACAATGAACACCTGACGTCAACTCCCGCTGCCCCCACATAAACACAACGAGAAAGGGAAACAAAACAAAAAGGCAGCATATATATGTATCGTAAAGCACAAACGCCCCCGTAATCCCCTTCACGAAGAGAAAAGGAAAAGGAAAAGGAAAGGAAAGAAAGGAAATACTGCACCGCCGACTAATACCAGGAACTCACCGCCCTTTCTCTTTCCCCATGCCCCGTCCCCGCCCTTTGCATCCACCCACCCGCAACTACCGCTACAGCATAACCCCCCAACACGACCCCGAAAACCAAGCCCAAGCCGCCGCACAGAGATCCATCAAGGGCGGTCCCTCCTACTGGGGAGGCTAGTCGGAAGCGATCCCACAGTAACCGCCCGCTGCAATCCACGCTATCGGGTAGAGTCAGGAACGTGGATATCGACATCCCCAGGGTCGAATTCTATCGCGTCGCCAGGGCCAGGCTGTTGGGAGCTCGCTGGACCTTTTTTCGGGGGAGGCGAAGAGAGAGTTGTTGATGACGTAGCGGGGCGATGCGGTTCTCGCGACTCTGGATGCGCAGGTGGAGGGGGGGAGGGAGAGAGGAGCGGGGCATTGATGATGAGCGCGGTTATGCTCGTTTGCCTGTGGACGGGCGTTCTCGAGTATTAGGAATCGAAGCCATACTGTTGTCAGGTGTCAGGGTGGGGTGCTCGATATGGAGCTTAATCGAGAGGCGCTGCTTCGGAATAGGGGTTCTGGGGGGGGATGAATCGGTGGAGGGTTGGGTCTAAGGTTACTTTTGAGATGGGTGATGTCAGGGGGTGAAGTTTGAGGGTTCGTGGGTGGGGGGGTGGTAGGCTTCCAAAGGTGTTTGAGCGATCCCAAGATTAAAGATAAAGAGGATTGGTCCCCTGATAAATATCGGTTCATGAGAAGATTGAACGCAATGATCCTTGGCCGGCTGCAGAATGCACCTAAACGAGGCAACAAAGGAGAGTTGTGTTGCATTTATTATCGGGGAGTGTGTGCGTGAGGTGCAAACAATATGTACAATGCTGAAGATCGAACAGAAGGAAATTAGTTTGAAATAATCGCTGACTATATCCGGATATCCGTGCCGGCTCCCCCTTCGGAAAGGACACCTATCACGGCGGGTAGACCTTGACTACCGTAAGTATATCGCTGCAACTCCAGCTGTGAGGAAGGCATAGAGTCCCAACACGAGGCCCGCATTTGTTGGGCCGCTGGAAGGGATGCTGTTCACCGATCCTACACATTTCGTGCGAAATGGGCAGCAGGCTGGCAGTCCCGAGTCGTCGTTGATACAAACTTGGTCGAGGGTGCAGCAAACATTCGGTTCGCCGATCAACGCACAGTCATGGTACCGTAGTGGACAGGAGCTCCCTCCCGAGATACTGCTGTTCCCATCTGCCCCCAGCAATGTACCGGTGGTAGAAGCTGCGGAAGGGCTAACGGGAACCGCGGATTCGAAGGACGCTGTGCTCGTAGCCTGAGATAGATTTGCACTGCAGCAGCAGCAAACCAGAAGAAGCAGGAGGGGAGTGGAGAAAACTGTTGGTCGAAACATTCTGGTGACTTCGAGAGGAGCCCTTGTAAGTAGATTTTTCTTTTTTGTTGTCCGGAAGGCGGGAGGTAAGGGACTGGATGCTGGTATATTTGTATGTATGTATGGTTCTTGGCCAAAAGTGATCGTCACTTTGGCAACCGAAGCGACAGCAACAGCCCCAAACCCCAACCACAACCATGCACCGTACTATTCCCAATAGCTAGCAGCATCAAAAGAGAAAAACAAGAGAAGAATGGGTACTATCTACACATCATAGGGCTCTGGGAGTAAAAAAGGCAGGTTTGGCCTTTGTTCATATTTTGTACTGAGCCCAAATAGCTGATACAATTCTCAGTTATGCCTACTAAGGATATCAGAATATTAGCTTAGTCCTTACTCCTAGAAGAATAGGCTGTATCAAGAATCTTACTACATATAATTCTTTGTATCTTATTATTATAGTATGTTACTACTGGAAATATTATTATAGAAGTTGTACTAAGATTTTAGCACTAGTAAGTATACTAGCTTTTATAAGAACTATTAAAAGTAGACTAGTAGAGTATAGAATTTATGGTAAGACTGATAGTAATATATTTTCTGAGAAGAGAAAAGTTATAGATACTACCTCAAGTATAAATATTGAATGATTAGAGAATAGAGAAGAGTAGTTTGAAGTAATTTGGATATACAATAACAAAGTTTGTAAGTATAGTTATATAAATAGTTTTTAAAACTTCCAAGAAAAAAACAACTTTCAGAGTATGTAAAGAAAGTTAGAAAACTGGAATGTGTAAAGTAAATACTATAACTTTATTTTGCTAGTAGTTTAAGGAATATTTGTAGTAGTTAAAAAGAAGTAAGAAGAAAGTAATTACTATTGAAATATTAATAGTATATGTTAAGATATTAAAATTGTTTTTTAATTAATTTTTTAGAGAAATTAAAGGAAAAGAATATTGATGCAATTATTATATGATTAGGACTTATACTACAAGATAAACTATAAAGTTGTTAAGAACTGATTTCTATACTTAATTGATTTTAATACTACTGAATGTACTAGTATTTGAATATATCTTAAGCTTTACTATTAATATGTAACGGGGGCTCCCTCAGGTAGATGGTTCCTGAGGATGCGACCGCACCAAACTTCGAATCTCTCGAACACAGCTCTTGCAAAAGTGTAAAGAATAAAAGTAAACGGTAAAACTTAATATCGTTAAGCTCAGGCTTATCTCAATTAAAGTCTCTCGAGAGGATGTTGATTGTGTCGGGGTAGGAGAGTTCTCGTATAATCTTTAAGTAGTCAGACTTATACCAAAAACTCCCCCATCAGGTTACCCCGACCAACGTGAGTATGCCCTTCTCCGTAAGGGCTGCCCCGGCACCATTACCGTGTCCCCGAAGGGCTATAGGTGTCAGCGCACTCTAGCAGAAATCTCCCATATGCACATCAGTTCCTGCAAGGTGTTTACCAATACACCTGCCGGAGTGAAAACCTCTGCACATCGGTGTCTTGTTAGTGGCTAACTGTCGAGACCCTTAGGAAAGCTAACTAAATGACTCTCTTCCCATATGCTATGACCTATACAAGCACTCGTAGACATCAGCTGTCTTCCGGCTAAGTTCTATCGTTCTTGATTGCGAACTTAGGGGGTCTACGACGCTCCCGCGGAGAGCTGTGTCGGCGGCGGGACCCATAGGCGCTACCCATGGTCCCTTACCCCCAGCACACCACTCACCGAGATAAGTGTCATGCTATTAGAGTCTTCAAACAACCCACAAAGAGCCTACGGCAAAGGGGCACGTGTAGGCATGATTGGCGTAAAACCTTCCCAGATGTCTCCGGCACTACCCGGGACTACTCTGGGGACCCTTCCGGATAGCTCACACTAACTCCGTCAGTTTTGGTCCGTTTTACTCCGTTCTTTTTGGAGAAGGTACCTGACCTTCTCACCTTGGCCCCCTTATATATCCTGCGAACAGCTTCCGGTCGGACGGACGGCGACGACGCATACAGTGTTATGGACATGTCTTCATAGATTCCATTTAACTAGCATAACGGCAACTCCACCCATTTTGGCCCATGACGCCCGGGGCGAACCCTGGGGCCGCAGGTACCTGTTAGGAATAATTCTACCAAGTTACAGCTTGTTCGGAGCACTATAGCTCCTCCCGTAGTCTTCCGATCAAAGTACAATCAAGTGCCCGTCGATCGTCATTGCGTAACAAACAATCCTAACATTTTCCGAAATTCTTCCGAGAACATTTCCGACGGAAGGTAGGGTAATAGTGTCCCAAAGGTAGGGTAAGTATGTCCATGGTGACATGAAACCGGTCTCCATGGTAGGGTAACGTGACCTCCTTAGGCAGGGTAAACTCACCCGGCCTTCTAACCTATCCATAGGCTAGAACGGGCATTGTCACGTTATAACTACTACTTAGGTACACCTATTCCTTAAGTACCTTCTGTTCTTAGAGATTTCCGGACCATCAGATATCTCTTAGATATGCGCCTGCATATCCGCCTCGTCTACCATCTGACCTCTTGGTCTTTTGTATGGGCGTAGACGTAGGTTACCATAGCTCTATTTCGTAGGGTCGTTACATAATACTACTAGTATTCACATTTAGCTACTGCTACTAGATAAGGAAACAATATAGTAAAGCTCCTCATAAGAAGCTCTTATTTATTACAAATTTACAGGAATTTAAGAGTGATTGATATTGTTTGTCGGGAGTGGGCAAGGGTACTTGCCACGGCTAGGGATGGTCGGTTTTGTCAGCGAATTATGTGTATACTGGTAGTGTTGTATGATAGCTATGTGCGGATATGTATGTAGGGTATATCGTACTAAGAATTTCGTTGCATGGCAGGATGAAGCATAAATGGCACGTTTGGCACACTCGACTATCTTTTCTGTGCTGCCAGCTGCCAGTTGTCAAAGGATCAAAACAAACCAATTTATCGGTACCCCCAAGTCAGGTGATTGCCAAGAGTGGAAACCACGTGAGCTTCGTGTCTCTTCACCTTTTCGTCCGTACTTAATTGTCTACCCCCTTCCGCACCTTTGTTCGGTGCCGAAATCTCCCCGCTAATGATCCCTCGCACTCTATGACCACTACCCCGCCGGCCGAGGGGCTTTCATTCTATCCCCATTCTCTCTTCACCCACTCCCTCACCTTTAATGAATGGGCGCGTCTCACGGCAAAAGATATCCACGAGGGATTACATCAGAGACGTGGGTTCGAGGGGCAAGATGTTTGGTTTTATTCAAACCATCCCATCAGGTGGGTGAGGGTGGTCGGAATAGTTGTTGCTTATGATGACACGGAAAAGATGGTTAACATCACTGGTGAGGGCCCCCCAATCTCTCGTTTCTCCCTATTCACTGTGCGCTGACCTAGCTTAGTGGATGATGGCTCTGGTTACCTGATGGACCTAATCGCTTGGAAAGGGAAGCCGCCAGTAGGAAAGAGGCCGAAATTTTCATTTGATGATCTCAAGAATGTCGGTTTGCATTCGATAATCAAAGCGAAGGGTTCTTTGGGAGAGTTTAGGGGCAATAAGCAGCTTTTGTTACGGAGAATCGCGGTCTTGCACGACACAAATGGCGAAGTCGATGCCTGGACGGAAACGATCAAGTTTAAAAAGAATGTTCTATCTAAGCCATGGCATCTTACGGAGGAGTTCATCAGAGAGGAGCAGGGAAGAGTGGCGAAGGCTGCAGAAGAAGCGGAGAAGAAGGAGGAGAAGAAGCGGCGGAAGGATGAACGAACGTTGAGAAAAAAGGAAAAGGAGCTCAGGAAAGTGCTCGGGAAGAAAAAGGGAAAGGGGGAAGCCGTTGAAGGGGGAGCAGGGGGCAACCACGTCGGGGCAGGAGATGTGGCTGCTGAAATAAGCTATCGGGGGCGTCGTCGGGAAGAAACCCCTCAACTAGCGGCTTCAGAGAGTATCTATGTAGGACGCCGCCATCCCTCACCCCGTCCTTGGTCCCCACCGGTTTCATTAGGCCCGAAACCTGAAGATGGTTCTGCTCCAACGTTGGCCGGGGCTAGTCGGCTCTCGAAAATACAACATTTGAATACTCATTGTTCGGAACCAGACGAATATGGACAGGAACCTGATTATAAGCGAAGGCGTTGTTTTTCCCCCGCACTGGAACCAGATCTACAGTCTGGTTCGCAGCGCTTAGAGATATTGGAGAGCAGCTTCCGGGGATGTCGCCGGTCTTCCAGGGCGCCGTTGCAGCTGACAGTATCAAATGTTGCGTTATTAGAACATTCCACATCATCTGAGTTCCAAGCTGGTGATCAATTGCAACCTTCAGTAAAGGCTGTATCGTATGTTGGGCGCCGACGTACGGGATCCGAATCGGCGTCTGTTAATCAGGACCTTGACAAATATCACGCGCCGGCAAAGCTTGAGACAATCCCCTCCTCTCCCCCTGAAGTTGTAAGGAGGTGTCATCAAAGGCGGTACTCGCCAAGTGGACTCCGCATTCCGCATACAAGTGTCTTCCGTGACACAAATCCAAAAGCCGACCTCCCTGAACCTATGCCTGAGCGAGTGCCGCCAAGCATGGAATCCTCGACGGGTATCTACCGCGGCCGTAAACGATGCACAGGCTCAGAGACCGCATCTGTCGTAGATCCAACGGTAAAACGAACGAAACTGAAAACGGTTGAGCCGCCACCACCCCCGTTACCTGCACTGGCGGAATGTCCAACAGAACCCTGTTCTTATCGTGGCCGACGGCGGCGCTGGGATTCGGAGACTAATTCTCGACTAAGCCGGGAATCCTCCATCTTTTCGAACCCGGTTGAGGAGAAGAGCGGTTGCGAGCGCTGGACTGGGTCTACCGTTCCGGAGAGCTTTGTGCTACCACCACCTTCTCCCTCTAGGGACGGGGATGGGCCTAAGTATCGTGGAAGACGTCGGACGCAGGTGCCGTAGACGAAGGTTGATAATGTCTTTTCTTTTCTTTTTTCTTTTTGGTGTAGATATTGCAGGAAATGACGATGCTTTCAATCGGACTTGTTATTTTTTCCCCCTTCAATTTAAGATTCGTGGGCAAACTTGAACATATAAGGAGACTTAGGAAAAAAGGGCCGAGGAACACGGCGAATGTTTATTGGTATCAAAATCCTGGGAGGTGCATGGCGAAATCTGAATTTGACGCATGATAAGCACCCGATTCCTTGTTATTATTACCACTCATTTCGTTTCCACAAGTTACGACAAGGCATGCTGTGATGTTACTGTAAGCTGCTCGCGCGTTATTTCCTTCCCACCACTCAATCCCAGCGCGTACGGTACTTGTATTGTGAATCCCGGCCCGCCAATCCCTTTAGCGCAGGGTCAACCCTCAACGGCCACAATCCCAGCAGCTGGACTAAAGTGCAGCACGTCCCACCACCCTATGACAGCGGTGGTGGACAAATAGTAATCAAGCAAAAAACCCAAAGCGGAGGCAAAGGGGAGGAGAAACATTCGAGAGCGAAGCAAACCCTCCGGCCAGGTGGTGAAAAAAAAATTAAACTTTTCTCCTCCCAATCCCGTCGCGAGCACAGCACCATACGATATGTCCCCCCCCGGGCCAATTTTCACTTGTTGGGTACAGTGCTCGTGGAGAACACTTTTCCGATAACTGTTGGTCGGGAAGCGATGCGTTGCTTGCACCCGGTCGGTGGCGGTGTGATACTTGTACAGTACTCGTACTTACTCGAGTGCAATGGCCTATCGAATTGCTGGTGGTACAAAGCACATTTTTCCTGACTTTAGCGCTGATAAGATTGTTGGGTGAGTTGGGGGGAGAGTGTAGGCGAGTGAGTGGGTGTGATGACTGGGGTTGTGTTGATGCGATGGGATTGGAGAGATGCGAAAGTTTATTGTAGGTTTTGTGGGGGCTAAGTTAAGCGAGTGATTGGGGGGGGGGGGGGAGAATTGCTTCAGCCCCCAAAGATCGAACCTTTGCGGGAGCCCCGCACTGTTACCGACTGAAGCAAAAGTCTACTACAGATACTGTAGGTATGATGTTCAGATCGAAGTGCGGGTTAACAATAGTAACAACCCGCCGCAGTACCGTACTCGTACAGTACAGTACGGTTACCGCTTTAGTACCGGCACGTCCCTAACTTTACCCGAACACTGAGCAGTACCGAGTATAATATTATACTAAGCCCCTCCAGGTCCCCCCACCATCGCGGGAAACAAAAGAAAAAAAAAAGGAAAACTCCACCACCAATAATTGCATGTCCTCTCACGCAACCACTCAGCCGCACTCACATATCTTCTTTTTTTCTTTTCTTCCATACCACACACATGCAGATGTCAAAAAGCAAAGGGAAGGGCAGAACACTTAAAATAGAACCAGTAGCTTCGTGACCAATATAATAGCTCTATTTAATGGGATGGAAAGTGGCACGAATTAAATAAGGGGAGAGAGAGAAAGGGCAAACGGTTTGTTCATGTCTACCCGGACGAGTATAATGACACGGTATTGATATAGTGGCACGTTCGCTGCGACTAACTTGGCTTAATTAGCTGAAATACGGCATTAAGGTTACTAGGATTTTGCATTTTATCCCCTTTGCGATTCCTCCTTTTTATTATTATTTCCCTTTGGCTTAGCTGGACTTTCCCGGCTTTGTCCTGTCTTGCCCGTCCTTTCCCTGTCCCATTCAGTGCGGTTCTGTCTTGTCTTGTCTTGTCTTGCCTTAATTTTGCTTTCTCCTCCTTTCCTCCCATTCCTCCTCTCCCATTCCTCCCCTCTTCCTTTGTTCCCGCGGTGCGGCACTATCTCTATCACTACCACTACGACACGCTGCGACACGGGAAAGTGGACAGTGCGAACAATGCGTCACCTCCACCACCTTCCCCTCCTCTTCCTCCCAGCAAACCTAGCACTGGCAGAGATCCTGGTGTTCAATGAGACAACAGGGCTGCCCGGATGCGCGTACGATTGCAAGCCGCTGTGGGCCGCACAGTTCGATTGCTTAGGCTTCGCCGGCGGTGATGAGGTGAAGTGCTTTTGTTTAAAGGTGGGGTGGGTACAGGGTGGTGGTAGTGGGTGGGTGGGCTGCGATAATGCTTGTGGGGATTGGGGGGGTGGGAGAGTGAAGGTTGGGGAGTGGTTGGGGAGGACTTGTGGTGGTGTTGGCAGTGGAAGCGGTAATGGAGGGACAGGAGGAACAGGAACAGGAACAGGAACAGGAACAGGAACAGGAACAGGAACAGGAACAGGAACAGGAACGGGAACAGGAACAGGGACAGGAACAGGAACAGGAACAGGAACAGGAACAGGAACAGGAGGAGCGGGAACAGGAGGAACAGGAACGGGGGGAACAGGAACGGGGGAAACAGGAACTGGAACTGGAGGAGGGGGAGGAGGGAACGGGAACATAACTCAATCCGCCAATGGTAACGGGACGGACACCACAGACAATGAGCAGGCCAAAAGCGCAGCGGACCAGGCCACGAGGGCCAGATCTTGGTTTGTCACCTCTCTCCCCTTCCTCTTCCATATATATACATTGCTGACAGCTCCAAGGTGGAAGAAAAACTACCCCTTCTTCATCCTCGCCTTCCTTGTAGTAACGGTCCCAATCCTCTTTTACGCCTTCGCCGTCCCCATCCGAAAATGGGCGAAGCGGCAAATCACCCAGAGCCGTCCCGGCCGGCAGAGCAATATGGAACAACTCGGTAGCGGTGGTGTCGGCGCCGGGGGCTTCGTATTCCCGCGATCGCCTGGGGGGTCGGCGGTGTGGGCCGCCGGCGCCCCCACTCCTGGGAGTTGTGGGAGCTTCATGGGTGCCACCGCCGGAAGCGGCGGTGGAGGGGGAGGAGGGGGATCGAGACGTGGATCTAGTGCGAATGCGCTGGACGACCCGGGTTCTAGTGGGGTTTTTGCGACGGAGGTGTTACCCCCACCCCAGGACGTTCGATTTACCACTCGGCAGGAGAGTTGGGAGAGGAGGACTCGGGCTCAGTTCTCCCGGGGGAATGGTTTCAGGCTGAAGTTTTGGAAGAAGAGGAGGGAAGTGGATGAAGAAGGATAGTACTATCATGATCACTATCGTCACCATCTTTATTCCACTCCATGACTTTGCCTGTTGGGCTTGAATTGGATCGCTGTTGCTGTGGGAATATTCTTTGGGGTGTAAATATTGGCGCTTTGGGGGAGGTGTTCTTGTTTCATCAAGTTTTGTTAAAACCTTCTTTGATAACTTTTCATTTATTTTTCACGGATCCCACTTCAAACTTATAATTTTCTGGGGAGCGGGGAGTTTTTTTATATTTTTATTTTTACTTTCTACCCGTAGTTTTTTTTTTTAACCAGTATGAGAGAACCAATGTACTTTATTGAAAAGTCAACAATTCAACGATCTAAATCTTAACTAAATACCGGTACTATATAACCAACACCCCCCAGGATTGGTGACCTACCCCTCCCCCCCCCCTCCATTGTTCAAAGCGTTCGGGCTCCCTGCTTCCTGGTCATCAAGTAACAACGGGGGGAAGAACCACTCCTCCGGTACCGTAGTTCTATCGGGGAAAAAAAAAAAGTTTGCTAAAGCGATATACACAGCCCCACTTAAAAAGGCATTCAAGGTATATAAGCCTTATCAAACACACCCCATACGGCGATCCCCTAGCGTGCATAAAGGTTCAGGCATGCAGTGACAACCTAAGCGCAGGAGGTGGGTGTGCCGGGGGGCAAGACATCAGGCTCAGTGATAGCAACTTTGGTACCTGCAGCCCAGCACTATTTTCTCGACGGTGAGCTCTGGATGCTAATTCTCCCGTAGGGAGGTCTAACAAATAGAAATAGCCTTGGACTTCGTGATCAAGTTGCCCACGAGTCCAGTGATTTTACTGCTGGCATTGGGATTTCCTGACTGCGCGGGGAGAAGTGGGGGGGGGGGGGGGTTAACAGGTGCGGTGTTGCGGGCTATGATAGGTGCCCTTACTTGCACTCTGTAGTCTTCGTGGCAGAGCGAGAGCGGCGATGAAAAGAAAAGAAAAGAAAAGCTTTCTTCAAGAAAGATTTGGGCAGAGCGAACTTCTTTCTGTCATCAATTCCAGATCTCACCGATGACGTCCCGATCGTGCACGAACCCGAGTTCAGTCAGGTGCAGTACGGAGCGGTTCTGCCTCTCGCTTC